GGAGTGAGCTAGCCGCCCCGCGCCGCCGTCTGCGTTACTGCATATAAACTGGTTTGTATGATCCACGGCGGAGCGCGTGGCGCGGAGTGAGCTAGCCGCCCCGCGCCGCCGTCTGCGTTACTGCATATAAACTGGTTTGTATGATCCACGGCGGAGCGCGTGGCGCGGAGTGAGCTAGCCGCCCCGCGCCGCCGTCTGCGTTACTGCATATAAACTGGTTTGTATGATCCACGGCGGAGCGCGTGGCGCGGAGTGAGCTAGCCGCCCCGCTCCGCCGTTTGCATTACTGCATATAAACTGGTTTGTATGATCCACGGCGGAGCGCGTGGCGCGGAGTGAGCTAGCCGCCCCGCTCCGCCATCTGTGTTACTGCATATCACTGGTTTGTATGATCCACGGCGGAGCGCGTGGCGCGGAGTGAGCTAGCCGCCCCGCTCCGCCGTTTGCATTACTGCATATAAACTGGTTTGTATGATCCACGGCGGAGCGCGTGGCGCGGAGTGAGCTAGCCGCCCCGCTCCGCCGTCTGCAGTTGCTGCATATAAACTGGTTTGTATGATCCACGGCGGAGCGCGTGGCGCGGAGTGAGCTAGCCGCCCCGCGCCGCCGTCTGCGTTACTGCATATAAACTGGTTTGTATGATCCACGGCGGAACGCGTGGCGCGGAGTGAGCTAGCCGCCCCGCTCCGCCGTCTGCGTTACTGCATATAAACTGGTTTGTATGATCCACGGCGGAGCGCGTGGCGCGGAGTGAGCTAGCCGCCCCGCTCCGCCGTCTGCGTTACTGCATATAAACTGGTTTGTATGATCCACGGCGGAGCGCGTGGCGCGGAGTGAGCTAGCCGCCCCGCGCCGCCGCCTGCGTTACTGCATATAAACTGGTTTGTATGATCCACGGCGGGCAGCCGCGGACATGCCGCACCGCCAGTGCCCGCCGGGCACCCAAGGCGCGGTCTTTTTGCCCTCTGTGTGCGTTTGTAGTATAGGATTCACTTTGTAACCGGAATTGACCGGCCCGCTCCGCCGCGCCGTCTGCAAAGCGCCTAAATATTCCAACTCAATGACCGTATAGGACCCGCCTACATATTGATAAAGTGTTAGTTATGAATTTAAAATAGTGGGTGAGAATCGACCCAGTTAACGCACTTGTCGTGACGACGTGGTATTGAGTGGTTAATGAAGACCTATGATGAGGTCGAGGTCTCCTCTGTTTATATTTATTCGTCAATTGTATTCGGAATGGTATCTAGTGTTTATTATATAATAAATAATAATAAATGATATATTTTTATAATCCGGCTCGAAGGACCATGTTTCTGATCCTTAGGGAAGAAATTAGCAATTGAATAAAAGCATATGTCTTGAAATAAAATAATTGTATTTTCTTGGGTTTTTATCAACAGAAATTAAGTCTCCATAGTAACAATATAATAATATGACACAATGAAAAAGAGTAGATAAAATGACCATAAACATCTAGGGCACCGTAAACTCTTTTCGTTCAAATTCGTGTAGGTTTTTTTTGGAGTTTACTCCTTAAGAATCGATTTGCATATATAAGGGGCCCGGTATGAGAAAAATGTGAGGAGTAAAATCTATCGATGAATGACCTCGTTACGTTTTTGGTGCGCATCCTATGTCGTGCAACTTTGACAAACAAAGATGACTGATTGACATTGATATTTTTTTTTTAAATCTTAACTGAATTTAGATATTGTTCCTGATAGAGCAATGGTATTTACCCTTTCATACAGTATCAATCTTTTTTAAGTTAATTAAACTCTTTTTGCGTCTGATTAGACTATCGAACCTAAGGAGTAAACTCCAGTCGTGCGTCGGAGCTGACACACACAATTTTGTTTTATAGATATATCCGACAAATGAATCCACCCCACCTGATGTTAAGTGAAGGTGAAGTCCAGACGTGAAGATAGCTGATACAGCAGTTCTACCTGCCACACCAGCCATCCTCACCCTGCCGGCCTGCGTGTTGCTTCTTCACGCCTCTTTAAAGGATCCCAGGTTGTAAGAGGGAGGGAACATGTGAGCGGGCAGAGCATTCCATTTACGGATAGTGCGACAAAGAAATAAGTCAGCAAATTTCTTTGTACGCATTGGAATTGTGGCCACAGTTAGACGGTGACAACGTAGGCCAGCGCGCGTAGGTATCCTATTAAAATGGTGTGACGTATGAACTAGACGCATGATGCTAATAAACTATAAATTGTTCATGTCAATAATGGTCAATCGGTATCAATCTGGAGTTGCTTCCAAATTGTTTACATGTATTTGCGTGAAGAAGCATTTTTGAAAGCCGGCTAGGTGAGAATGGTTGGTGTAGCAGCTATCTTCGCGTTTGGACTTTATCACCACTTAACATCAAGTGGGGTAGAGTCATTTGTCTACCTGGCTTTATATATATAACAATTTTTACACAATGACTCCATTTTTTGGTCACACTTAATACATGTATAATAGATGTAGTTTACAATACTGGCATCCAACTTGTTGGACAAACAAAATATGTGAATATATTTTATTTTCTAAGCATTTAACTGCTATTTTAAATTACACTAGAAAAGGAAGTCCCGTCAGCTGCCTGGTCCACGTAGAATTTTTTCTAGTATAATTATTCATTGAAATATGTGAATTAAATAAAATATGTGTGAAATTAGACTTAACATAGACACGTTAAGGCTATTTGACACATATTTCTTTGAAACGCACAATTTTCCCATATTGTATTCTCGGCAAAAAAAAACAAAATTGAGAAAGAATACAACGGTCCCAAGTATCATCGCCACAAAGTTTTTCGTTCAACTTGCAGCATGTCGCATTTTCAAAAATTCAAAGCTTGTCAACAAGGTACGGTGTACGGTCCGGGTTACAATCCCAGCTGAGAAAGAGTTTTTCTTTAATTAATAATTTTTCAAATTTCACTTGGATCATAGTTTTTCATATTTTTTTTACATTGTGAAATAAATACAATTTTGACGTGACAACGTCTTAAATTAGGTTGCGGCTGGGAGTCACTTATGAAAAAGTGTAACGCTCGGTAACGTTACGATGAGTTTAAGTTTACATGTACAATGTTTTAGTAAACAAAATATATTTCTATAGTTAAAATTTGTGCAATTCTTATTTTCATTCAATTCCTTGTTCCTATTGTGCAATTTAATTATATTCATATCAATAAATATTCTACCGAGAAAAAGACGTTGTCACGTAAAATCTTCGCCCGTAAAACCGACTTTACAGGCAACCATTTTTTTTTTTTTTCAATTTACATCACTAGTTATGATTTGTTATAATACAAAATGATTATATAATAATATTTGAATAAAAATGAGATAGCGCGTTCGGCTGCGATCGTTGAAATTAAGCAACTTTCACAGCGGTCGGTCACTGAATGGGTGACCAAAAATATTCTATCTCGAGTTCCTCCGTGCTTCGGAAGGCACGTTTAGCCGTTGGTCCCGCTGCGTCTGCAGTCGTTAGCACCCCACAGTGTTTTATGGAACCAAAAAAATTTACATGTTCAGGTTTTTACATAAATAGATTATTTATACCCTAAAAAAGGCATGAGTTCAATTCCCAGAAGTCTAACTCAAATACTTTTTGAGAAAAAAAATCATGAACTTATCGTGACCTTTGACCTATGAAATCTAGAATATTTTTTTATAAAGTGAATATTAACAATATATTTTTTTAATAAATATGTGTCAATCGGGCATAATCAGAGGCGTATAAACGCGTTTCTTTAGCTTAAAAAAATGCATTGGTTTGGGAGCAGAATTTTTTTTTTTGTATTTCGTATTTATTGATTTTTCTCCCTAAAAACGAAAAAGTGGAACCTAGAACTTCGATAGAAATAAACCTACGGATGTGTTCTATCATACATAAATAAGCCACGTGTCACTTTTGCGGCGATTAGAAGATATTCATTTTTAAATTTTTATGCTAGGGTTGACACCGAACCTGACCTCGAACGAAAATTTTTAAAATATAAATTTGTGTATTAGTTTTGAACGAGTTTACAATAATGTAGATTTTAGGAACTTACTACAGTACCTTTAACATATTTTTATGGGCTCCAAGCTCTATTTGCAAAAAAGGAACGCTTAAGGTGATTCCCAGTCAAGGCGGAAGTCATTATAATGAATATCGATTTTCGTTTTCAGGTCTGAGTATTAACTATTAATTGTTTGTTTTGTGTGTGTGTTTTGGAGACCCAATTAGACATAAGTTCATGCCTGCTTACCTCTACGTTTTTTTTGTAACAATAATAGTTACACCTACTAACTGATTTATGCCCAAGATTTGTTTTTATTTTCTGATCGAATGCCTGAATGATTCTGAATGAATTTTGAAATTTTTTTCAAGCAACATAGTTCATTTTTTCGTTACCGTTTAGCGTGTAAGGTACAAAGTTAAAATGTGGTCGAACAAACATAAAGTATTCCTACATTATCACATCTACATTAGGTAGGTACCTAGTATATGTAAGTATATTGTATTCGTCTACAAGTGTTGTTAATTTTTTCAATTGATTGACGGTATTAATTAACAAACAAAAAATTTAACATTTTCATTTAACTCATAGTTGACCTTTGTGACAATCCTAGATCATGAAAGTTGACCTTTATCTAAATTCTGTCATAACTTCTTAAAACCGCAAAAGTGAAACCTGATTTTTTTATGGGTGATAGAACTTGGCTTATAGAACCTTTCTGTACTAAATCCAGGTTCCACTTTTGCCGATATTTGGAGAAAAAAATTAAAAATCGAAATTTAAAAAAAAAATATTTCTCGGAAAATAGGACACTTATAAATAAAATAAAATTGCAAAATTATGCCTTCAATAATTCCTTATCAAGTGGCAAATATCTCATGTACAGATATGGAACCGTCTTTTGAGGAAATTAAATTGTTAATTTTTTAATGCTCAAATTTCAAAAACTTTGCTACTTCATATCTTTTTTTTTAATGGAAATAGTGATATGAGAATTGAACTCTTGCCTTTATTAGGGTATAAATAATTGATTTATGCAAAAATCTTAAGGTGTAAATTTTTTTGGTTCCATAAAACACTGTGCACCCGCCTTACCCTCTTCGCATTCAAAGGGAAGCCCTGTGCCCCAGCAGTGGCGACATTGATTGACACTGACGATTATGATAATACAAAGTACAAAAATACTTCTTCCTTACACGCCACTAAAACGTTTGTACAAAGGAAATTATGCGACGAGATAAATACAATGACTTTTATTTATTTTTAAACCACGAACAAATTGACAGATATTACAGTGTTAAATAAAATAAATATTTCCAACACTCATACCAATTAGACTAGCCCCAAAGTAGGCACAAACATTCCCCACCGGGATTCGAAACCGGGACCTCTCGAGTCGGCGACACCATGGAACCCGGCGTACAAAACACTCAGCCAAGGAGTCGTCAAATGTAATAACATTTGACGACCTCCTTGGCTGACCACTGACACTGACCAATTATGTTACCGCGGCCCTCACGGACCGCGTCGAAATTCTTCTAGCCATTGTTAAGCTGCAAGGCAGCGCCATTTCTTCGCATTGTAGGTAACCCACAATGTCAAATGAATACTTTTCCAAGTATTAAAATTATAACTATAATTGCTATTTCTTCTTTCATTAATACTTGTAAAAGTATTCATTTGACTCAATGTCAACCTACAATGCGAAGAAATGGCGCTGCCTTGTAGCTTAACAATGGCTAGAAGAATTTCGACGTCGTCCGTGAGGGCCGCGGTAGCATAATTGGTCAGTGCATTCGCCCTCATTGCGAAGGGTGCGGGTTCGAGTCCCCTCTGCGTCTGGTCCGCGTGGATTTTTTTCAAGTTATATTTTCTTTAGACTCTAGCAAAATGGTTGCGTTCATACTCTAAAAGTGACCCTCTGATGTATTTAGGAAGCAGTTGTGCCTAACTCTGGTCACTGTGTTAGCGTCGTGCTCAGCAGACCTGTTCTCGAAGGCTACGAGGACTAAGGCTGATGAGAGGGACCTGAGGAGCAGCGTGTTTGACTTCATCATAGTGGGCGGGGGCACTGCCGGCTGCGTCCTGGCCAACAGACTATCAGCTGTGCACGATTGGAAGGTATCTATGTGAGATGCAGTTTTTTACAGCTAGGTAGGCAATTGACTCTTCCCCATCTGATGTAATGTAAATAAATAATAAATATTTCCAACACTCACACCAATTACCCTAGCCCCAAAGTAAGCACTATAAGGCTTGTGTTATGGGATGCTAGGTTAACGGATAGAATACATATACTGTACATATAATAGTATATTTATATAGAAATACATATTAAACATCCATGACTGGAGTACAAATGCTCGTATTCATCACACAAACATCTGCCCCCACCGGGATTCGAACCCGGGACCTCTCGAGTCGGCGATACCATGAAACCGGGCGTACAAACCACTCGGCCACGGAGGTTGTCAAAGTGGTGATAAAGTGTAGATGCGAAGATAGCCTCTCTTAAAGGGATACGCGCGTGGGCAAAGAATTCCAATTGCGAATAGAACGATAAAGAAATGAGTCGCCAAATTTCTTTGTTCGTGTAGGAATGAATGTGTTTTTTGGTTCACGAAGACATCAAAATCTATATCAATATGATTACCTAATAATATTATTATATTTAGAAAAGATTTCTTATTTTTGGGAAAGGTGCTGTTTCCACTGGATTGTTTTCAAAAATAATCATGACCAATGTTAAGCACTTATGATTTAAAGATTCTCACGATACCCTATGCATTCGTTTCTGTTCAGACATTAAGAGAAGAATAGTGTTGGTAGAATTAAGAAACGTCCCTGCATACAAACAAGAAATCCGTATATTAAATATTTTAATAAATAAACGACTATCTAATAAACAGACTATTTTAAAGCCATCTCATTTTCTTATTACAAGATTTGTAATTTTGTTAATAAAACTGGGGTTAGTTATAAGTAAACCAAGATTTTGTTGCTGTTTCGTGGCTCTCATCATTACAGAAGGCACTAAAACAATATATCTATGTTACTTTTTGTCAAAACCATGATGCTAAGTTATCAAGATGCATCACATACAAATAAAAATTACAAATGACTTTGTTTTGACAACAATTAACTGCCTGTAGCAACCAAAAAGAATTAATCCAAATAATTCTCTACTCATCATCGATGTAATAAATCAACTCAAACATGTTTATAGAACTTTATTATTATCGCTTCGACCTGTTGATCAGCTCACTTCCATAATGCCATCGTCATTACTCGCAAGCCTAATTCTATCTAGTCACGGTATTTCTTTTAAGGTACCTACGAACTTGTTTTAATACAACTTATTAGCGTAAAAGGTTCTCGATTAATTAAAATTTAAAGCAGGTAATTGTATTATGATTAGTTTTGATGAAACTACTCATATTTTCTTTTGTTTTGGCTTTGTATTATTTAACAAAAAGAAATCTCATACTGTATTAAGAGTAAAAAACATAAAAGACACCTGTTGCTAACTTTTCCTTAGTGACAGTGAAAGCTTATTTTCCTGTCACTATAATTTCCAGACATCTCTTAGGATTAACACAGAAAATTGTTTCTTAAACATTTTGCTCTTGGTTCAAAACACAGGTATTAGTCCTCGAAGCTGGCGACGAGGAGAACATAGACTATGATATTCCTGGAGTCCCAACAAAGGATTATCGACCCATACTGTGGAACTACAGGACTGAGAAGAATGGCTTCTCCTGCCTTTCCAGGCCTGGTGGTAGCTGTGAAGTTAGAACTGGAAAGGTTCTTGGAGGATCGAGTGTTACTAACGATATGAAGTATACTAGAGGTCACAAAGTCGATTATGATAGCTGGCACAGTACGGGAGCACTTGAATCCTTAGATTGGAAGTTTGGCAATTTGATTGATATGTTCAAAGCTTCTGAAGATAACGGTAAGTTAGATTCAAGTGGTCTTACTTTAAAGAGTTTAATTGTCTTTTATGAATTGGAAACTCTGTTAGTTACTTAGTTCCTTTTAATGTTTTACTTAGCTTATGTTAAACCATCTTTGCTTTCAAGGTGATTATGATACCTTGGTAAACTCATTCTACCATGCAAGAGGAGGCGAAATGCGCGTGCAGCGATTCAAACACGTGGACCGCTATATTGAAGTTTTCGATGCTGCATTTGCAGAAATGGGACTTCGCACCCAAGATATTAATACTAATATCGCGGAAGCCGTTGTCAACCACCAATTCACAATTTGGAATAACACAAGACTGAGTACAAACAGTGCTTTCCTAAAACCAGTTAAACACAGGAAGAATTTGACTATATTAACTGGTGTCACTGTTACTAAAATAATGATTAATACTCAAGAAAAATCCGTAGACGGTGTTGTGTATGAAATCGAAAAGGGAAAAGAGAGGCCGGCTTACGCCAAACGAGAAACGATATTAACTGTTGGTGCTATAAATAACGTAAAACTATTACACTTGTCTGGCATTGGACCAAAAGCAGATTTAAAAAAACATAACATAACTACTATAGTTGATTTGCCTGTAGGCTTAAATTACCAAGACCAGGTGACAACTGGTGGCTTATCGTTTGCTATTAACGATGTCGCTCCGGTCAGTGAAAACCAAGTTATAAACGATTTTAAGACCTGGTTCCAAAATCGTAGCGGTCCTTTGGCATCAAAAGGTATAGGACAAATATCAGCTTATATCCAATTATATGAAAATTATAACGCACCAGATGTAGAACTCAGTTTGGAGGGTAATTTTGTAAGAAGTGATAAATTTATGTTGACAAATATAAGTGTTAACGCAGCTGAAGAGACTAATTTACCACTTTCATATTACAATTTGGTCAACTTGTATCCAATACTGCTTAGACCTAAAAGTAAGGGAAAAGTTACACTAAACAAAAGGAATCCTAAGCTTGGCAGACCTGTTATACAGGCTAATTTATTAAAAGAATCTGAAGATTTAGATAGTATGGTTGATAGTATCGATATAGCATTACAATTATTAGATACAAAGGAAATGAAGAAGGCGGAAATAAAACTAGCTCCAATAGATTTATTCCCATGTGATAGGCTGAGAAACAGAGACCAATGGAATTGTATAGCCAGACATTATACTAAAGCCATGAGTAATCCAGTTGGAACCTGTCGAATGGGAGGGAACAAGACAGATTCTGTTGTAGATTTTAAACTAAGAGTTCATGGAATTGAAGGTCTTAGGATAGCAGATGCCTCGGTGATGCCAACCCACGTTAGAGGAGGTATATATGCACCTACAATGATGATTGCGGAAGTGGCTGCTCGAATAATTCTAAAAGACTGGAAAGAAAATAGTGGAACATATAATAGAAGGTGACATAAATTATTTTGTAAATAAAAAAGTCAGTCAGTACCAAGTTGTTTTTATTAAATCGCTTGCCTTTTCAGCTATCATGATGACAGGAGCTGCAGTAGATCCTCGTGTTATTTTCGGCATTATGGATGTATCAGCTATCCTCAAATTGGTTGTTCCGTACACTCTTAGGGTGTGATCAACTACTGATTCTGGATCTTTGGTAGGGCCCATTTTACATGTTCCAGCGTAGTTATGTAAAGGACTTGTAAAGTGTCTAATTATACATGACCAAAATTCTTCAGAGACTCTTTCAAAATTTTTACACTCATTATTTAATATTGGCCGCGGATCAAACTCAATTTCGGCACTCTTAAACACTTCCGTATCAAAAAGTTTAGTAATTTCTTGTATGCCCTCTAAAAGTTTCTTTTCATCTGAGGAATCTTTAAGAAAACTTGGGTATATAAGAGGCTTTCCAAAAACAGGATCGCTTGCATTCAATACTACTTGCCCTCTACTCCGTGGTGTCAAAAGTGATAAGCATATATCAATCTTGTCATAATACATATTAGAGTTATGGCCTTTAAATCTTACTTCTATATCTGGTGTTCCCAATATGTCTGAGAATTTTGTTTCAATGAATGCAACCACTTGAAAATTTGCTGAAAGTGGGCCAGTGCCTTTCGAATAATACGTCGTTATATCTTTCAATTTATCAGGGAATTTTCGTAACGTAGATGTCTTAGTTAATTTGATTACGGGCAAACAAACTGAAAGATGGTCTTGAAAATTAGCTCCAACGGGTAAATCATAGACAGCCCTAATGTTTAAGTATTCCAAATATTCTTTTGGTCCTATTCCTGATTGCATCAGTAGTTTTGGAGAATTGATAGCACCAGCGGTCAATATAACTTCCCGATTGGCTTTCGCTTTTACTCTTGTGCCATTTTTAATATATTCAATACCTAATGCTCTAATTGATTGCCTCTGCTCCTCTAATGCAATTGTAGTTACTAATGCTTCAGTAACAATCTCAAGATTGGATCTTAATTTTCTAACAGGTTCTAAAAAAGCAGTGAATGCACTCACTCTTTCACCAAAATACGACATAGTTTGTATTCTCATGAAACCAAGTTGGTTTCGACCATTGATATCGGTATAGTTATAACCGAGTTCATTAAAAGCACTCAGAAGTACATCTACATTATCATCTACATATGGGTAGCGTCCTACATCCAACGGGCCTTGCGTTGAATGGAAGAATTTATTTTTAAATATATCTCTGTCATAGTTTCCTTCCGAATATTTAAAGTACGGCAGGACTTGGGAGAAACTCCAACCATCATTGCCATTAAGAGCCCATTCGTCGTAGTCTGCAGGACTTCCTCTCATGTACGCCATATCGTTGATAGTAGAGGAACCTCCTAAGACCTTACCCTGGACAATCTCACAACCCCTGTCGAGACGGTTCTGACAAAATCTGGAATAAAGTAGACCTACTTGATTAATGTGAAATAACGCATTCTAAAATTTCATCAAGAAAAACTTCATCAAGTCTCACCCTTTTTTTGGTCTCATGCTGAACTGCCAATCTAAAGCGGAGCCTCTAAACTCACTGGTCAGACTAGGAATGGATGCAATCTTCGGCTCTTCGGGGCCGGCTTCAACCAGCAAAACCTGTCATCGACATAGAATTATTGAAATAAACAACTACTTTGTAAGTCTACTTCATGTGCAATTGTGCATGTTTTTTGATTTGTTTAACATGTTAGTGACTTTTTTTTATAGATAGGTCCGACAAATGACTCCACCGCACCTGATGTTAAGTGATGGTGAAGTCCAGACGTGAACATAGTTGTAAATGATATCTTCGTTTAATTAGTCTCTGTATTCATTTTAAATTTAAGTGGTATGTAAGGAATTACTTGAGTTCGAAGTAAGTAAACCATTCCAATAAAAAATTAAATCTAATTTTACTGACCATGCTGAATAGTCGTCATAAGAATGTAGTGACATAGAATTCCAAGGTTACAAGCTTAATAAGTGTGATATTCTTTACGACAAGCAAACTCAATTAACCCTAATTGTAGCATTCCTATGTACCAAAAGCAATGAACAGCGATAGTTTCAAACACCTTAATATGTTTGATAACGACTCGTCTTCTAATCATGGTTGTGTCTACAAAGACACAATCGCAGTTTAAAAAACGAGTAAAAACAAACTTTACCTAGTTAGAAAAGGGTAAATTAATTTTTATATATTTGTTTCTTAGGTTTTCACGCACATCACTTATTAAATAAAATTAGTTTTTAACCGGTTAATGCACGAAACTTTATTTATTTATTGACGTTTCGAAGCCTTTTCAGGTCTGCATCGTCAGAATTTGAAATTAACCGTTAAAACTAGTTTTATTTAATTTTTATGTTTATATTGGTGTCGATTCTGGCATGATTCTCTAAACTTAAACCTAAATTTAACATCAGTCTCTCGTTTCCTTTTGTATAGAGAATAACAAGGATATACTGTTGTCAAATTTAAGTTTAGGTTTAGAGAATCACGTCAGAATCGACACCATTTCCATAGTAATATTTAAATTATAAAAGCTTAAATAAATCTACTTAATGTCTAAAAACTTAAAATCAGAATTAACTTCTTAAAAATTACAAAATACTGAATATATTACCCCAGCGCCGCCATCGGGAATGGTGCTCAATAGGTTGGCAGCATTCCCACGATGGATAGCAAAGCTATTCCGTTGACCTAGGTAGCTGCCAGCCTTTTGATCACCAGTCACCTCGGTGAGTCTCTTAGATAATTCCTTAAAGAAGAAACTAGCGCTTGGACCCCATTGTCCCATAGTCTCAACACCACACGGCACAAAATGTATGTAGTTCTCTTTTAGTGCTGAATATATGCGTCGCTTGGTGCACACAGCAGAGGTCGTCGCCGCGCCCGCTACAAGGGAGGTACTACAGGTGAGGTGTCTTTTGGGGCAAAAGCGCCATAACGAATTAAAGACAAAACCATGTGAGGATTAATTAAAAAAAGCGGAAACAATACTAGCCGGCTAGAAGTAACATATATTGTTAAAAAGGTTTGCATTGCATGGATGCAGTCTATTTCACAGAGCAGAAGTGCTTCGATAGTTAAAATTATGAAAAGCGTTTTTTTTTTAGTTTGTTAAACTCTTTACCATCACCATGCAGCTCTAACACCATCATAATGAATATTACAAACAGTCAAATACCAGTACTCTGGAGTATATGTCTGCAGTTGTATATCTAATATATAAAATTCTCGTGTCGCGGTGTTTGTGGTTAAACTCCTCCGAAACGGCTTTCCCGATTCTCATGAAATTTTGTGTGCATATTGGGTAGGTCTGAGAATCCCCCCTAAATGTTAAGGGTAATCCACACTTAATCTTTTTTTTTCAATTTTAGATAAAAAAAATTTGTTTTTACTTTTTTATGATACATCATACAAAAATACATACATCCCTAAATTTTCAACTTTCTACCACCAACCCCTATTTTTTTATGGCGGTACGAAGTTCGCTGGGTCAGCTAGTTACCTATAAAATTTATCTTAGAAGCTAGAGGTCTTCCTTTCAATAAGTTTAAATTATACCTTCCACTTCCTATTCTCTGACAATCTGCTGGCTACCACGCAGCCTGCGGTGCCACCTCCAACGACGATGAAATCGTACTCCGCCACCGGATTTTCATTATCCTCCACACGAAAGGATTTCTGGTCGTCTTTTACCTTGTCAAAGTATGCATAAGGCCTGAGAAAAGAAAAAACAACATCTCTAAATAAATTTTGACTAATCAATATTAAGTATGATTAGCAATTTGGTAAACAGGGAACTTTGTGTGAACAGTAGCATTATGTCAATTCTTGGAATACCTAGAGACCTAGTTAAAGCCTTAGATTAAAACAAAAAAGCGGGCTTATTGTTTTAATCTAAGGCTAAAGCTGACAAAAACTTTCTTTAATTATTGTTTCCTAAACAATACCTTATTACTAATACAATAACCCATATCAGTAACTGTGTAAAAAAAATTGTGAAGTTCTATTACGAATTCAAATTCTGACGAAATTATAAAAATTCTTTTTAAGAATTTTTCAGAATTTGCGAGACAACATTAGAACGCTTGACTGAATTCCGACAAGGCCGTATTCCACATGTCTTAGTATTTTTTTATTGGATTGCCACATGTGAGGGCTTTGAAAATACTTTCTAAGCAAAATTTTGACGACATTTGATATTTTTTTATCCTACTTGACCTTTTTAGCTTGATAGGTTATAAAACCATCATGTTGGTCCTTTTTCCAAATATTTATTGAACACTTTCTAACAGTTACTGTTTGGTTGATTTTTACATCGCTGAGGCCCAAGAACGAATTTTCCACAGCTCCGTAACGTATAGTATTCTCCAAAATTTGTCAAAAAATAAGTGCCTGGGCCCCTGATTAATAAATTAAAGGCAGAAATATAAATATCTGTCGTGTTGTGTTGCTACCTTAGAGCATATACCACGTGGTATATGCTCTAAGGTTGTGACGCAATCGGTCGCGATCGCTTTCGTACATTTAGTACGGTTAGAACTATATTTCCATGTCGCGATCTGTCAACAGCGTTCTCACTCTCACTCTAACTATGTATAATATGATGAAACAAATAACTCTCTGATGCGTCACAACACAACATGACAGATAAGTGTCGTTCTGCCATAACTTGACAGAAAAGTTTTATCAAACAATAATCAAAAGATTTTAATCAAAATATAGCTTTTTTTATGGAAAACGGAGATCGAGCCATGACTCGCCACGCGGGTCCAATGCGGATTGATGGGACCACCACCACTCTTAAGATTTCATCTTTTATTTCATTTTCATAGTGTCTGAATTTAAAATTTTGCGCCGACCACCCGACACTGTTATCAGTGGGCTGAGATTTAGAAGCATGTTAGCACCAGGAATCAGTGGCAAATTTCCACATTGAATCACTTTCTTAAAAAACGATAGACGATTATCTATTCTAATTCCGTAACATTTCGTGGATCTGCACAGACTCTTTTTGTTTGTAAACATTCTCGTTTGGAATCTAAAAAACTTCTTGATGATGGTTATAAACTACACCTTGTTTATAAAATACTTGTTTAAAAACATTGTGTTTGTTATAAGCCAGATGATTAACTATCATGTTAAATTAAACAGCTAATCAATATCTAGAACTTATTTTTTTAACGGGATTTTTTTAAGGCAAGTCTATTTGGCAAAACCTAAATCTTTTAAAAAAAAAATTGGTTCCGTAAAATCAATGAAACTATTCGTCAGCACACTTTTGAATCAATATTTCTCTTTTTAAGGAGACCAAATTGCAGCAAAGTTCTTATTATTCTATCTCTATTTGACTTAAAAAATCGACAAAGATGGGGAATGGACACGATTAAACCTTAATTTGAATTTAAAACTTTGGTGCTAGTGTGTTTAAGATTTGTAAGAAAAATCACCAATTTTACCTGGGCTTCGGTATAATGTAATCTTCGTTAGTAGGACTCTCCTGTGACCTCAGCAAGGAATCCTTGTTGTTCCCAAAGTAGTCCGGTTCCGGACCGATGTGGCCGTAAAGGGTGTGGACTAGAGAAATGAGCAAGATAGCTGTAGGAGCACACTCTATTCTGCCGTCACATATCTTGCATAGATCTTCAGTGATGTTGACTGATGTCATTGCATCCTTTTCAGCGATCACATCCGTGTTCGCGAACTTCACTCACGTGCCGAATTTGGAAATTCAATTCCTAAATGGAATGGAATTACTCTTCCAAACTTTTGGAAGATTGTTTTGTTTTTTTCTTTTGTTTTTATCACGTGGCAGTAAGTAGATGTTCTAATGTTGAATTTGAAATTTACTTAGCAACACTGTGTTAACAAAACCCCACAAATTATATCTTTTATCCAAATTATATAAAATCTTTTATCCTTATATGTATGTTTCACTATTTAATAAAAATTTGTATTTCTAAATTAACGCCGTGAAGGCTAATAATTTTTCTTTCTTTCTTTCTTTCTTTTCTTTCTAAATTATTTAGTTTTGATGGATCGGTAGTAATTACAGGAGTGTATTGGAATGCAGCACTTGAACCAATGTCTACAGTTCCCGGTTTCTTTGTGTGTGCGTCTAAGAATTTGTTGTTTATACCGTTTGTTTATTGTTTATGGAAAAGAGCATTGTTTGAATTCCACGATGTCGATGGGTGAATTAAAATCGATTAGTCAGAAAACGGTTAACTGTACCGTTAGCACGAACCAATCATCATCATCATCAGTCTATTAATGTCCCCACTGCTGGGGCACAGGCCTTCCCTATGGATGGAATAGGGAAATTGGTCCATGACACACCACGCGGGCCCAGTGCGGATTGGTGGGTGCTAACGACTGCATATGCAGCCGGGACCAACGGCTTAACGTGCCTTCCCAAGCACGGAGGAACTCGAGATAGTAAATTTTTGGTCACCCATCCAATGACCGACCTCTGCGAAAGTTGCTTAACTTCAACGATCGCAGCGGAAAGCGCTATCCACCTGCGCCATCGAGCTCTTCAGCTCTGCACGAACCAATATCGAGTGCGAAATGTCATTGTCAAATTTGTACTGATTTTTAGGTCTCGTTACGCCCGTTTTGGCGCTGCTGTTCAAGTTTCCATACAAAATTTGACAATGACATTTCGCACTCGCAAACTATTCGAATTCGATACTGATTGGTGCTAAGGGTACTGTTGTGTATACATATACATACATACAGTGGGTTTAGTAAGTAACGGAGGCCATGTCAGTTTATAAATAACACAGTATTTACTTGGCTTAACATCTGCTGACGTCTCGTCCTTGACTATAACAGCATTAAGGCTTTGACGTCAAGTTTGTTCGTTAAAATAGACATCCCCTATATTTGTTTTAGATAGATAGACTTTTATATATTTTTGTGTAAGACGAATCTGAAAGGTACCTTATTTGAGATTAAGTTTAGGGGGTTAAGAAAAGCGACATTTACATGATACACTAATATTATAAAGGCGAAAGTTTGTGAGTGTGTATGTTTGTTACTTCTTCACGTCTAAACTGGAGCGATTTTAATAAAATAAAATAAATATTACCAACACTCACACCAATTAGCCTAGCCACAAAGTAAGCACTGTAAGGCTTGTGTTATGGGATACTAGGGTAACGGATAGAACATATATTGTACTAAGTATCATTTTATAGAAATACATATTAAACATCCATGACTGGAGTACAAATGCTCGTATTCATCACACAAACATCTGCCCCCACCGGGATTCGAACCCGGGACCTCTCGTGTCGGCGACACCATGAAATCCCGCGTACAAACCACTCAACCACGGAGGTCGTCAAAAATATATAAATCTGGTATGGAATTTGCTGACAGCCTGGATTAACTCATAGGCTACGTTTTACTGCGGAAAAATATCCCTAATCAAGCGCGGGTAACACCGCGGGGCACAGCTAGTCACAAATAAATTTTATGTTTTTTGAGTTTAGTATTTAACTGCTAGATGTTTAAATCTAAAGAAATATTCTACGCGGTCCAGGCAGCAGACGGGACGCGAACCCGCACCCTTCGCTATCCGGCGAATGTACTGACCATTATGCTACCGCAGCCCTGAAGGCCGCGTCGCCGTCGGTCGAATTTTCTAGCCTTAGGCTGCAAGGCAGCGCCATCTCTTCGCATTGTAGGTAACTAACATTGTAGGTAGGTTCTAATTAATTCTTTCATCCAAATGTGGTACTTTATACGAAATCCATTAGCATATCCACTGACACATTAGATGTTCTGGATTTTCTTAATTGTAAACGGTAGGTGTATATTTTAAGTGCAATAAGGCATCTTTGATATTTTATAATTTGAAAAAGGATTACGCAAGTAACGCCATGTGCCATACGTGTATGTCTGATGACAAAAAATGAGTGCCATTTGTACCATCAATGGTACTCCTGAATGGTACAGATGGGCCTGCGGGTAGGTACATTAAATTAGGTACCAATTTATTGGCGTATAAGTTTTATTCTTGACATATTAAGTTATTGTAAATAAGAAAACACTTAGGTATATATAGGTACCTTACCAAACTTTATTGTACCATGACAGCCGTACTTAGGGTTACAAACTTTATTTTTATTAAATGTATTTTTGAAGCTGTTACCTCTAAAAGTATAGTAGCTGGCAGAAAAATGGAAAAAATATAGTAGGTATGTGGTTAAAATATTGACTTTTTTGAAGTTATACTTCTTTAGACGCGTTATGAAAAAATGATGAGAGTAAAATTTTAAGATGCGCGCGCATCACCGTAACACAAAATTTTAACAGCAAACAGAAGAAATAGAATCTCTATTTAGTGGGTGCTAACGACTGCATTGTGAAGGCCTATCAAAAGTATTTATTAATCTGGAACAACGGAACCAAAGCGCGATTCAGGAGACTACAGCGCCATCTCTTGACCATTGGTGTAGTAGAACCAAAAACCACATCTTTATTTTTTGTAATAAAGTAACAGTTATAGGTATTCATATTTATAATATTTATCCACATGTTTCTAGTTTGTATATTCGGATTAAGTGTTTGAGTTTCATACAAGTGCAAATCACATATGTTCTAATAAATTATAATTATTCAGTAGCGATTTTAATTGAATATTTTGATTATTTATTTATTTTTTCAAATTAAAACTGAACTTTATTGACTGTGTCCTTTTCCAGACTTTTTATTAATTTATTGTAATTAATTATTTGCATGCAATTAAAAACTAATTTTAAACGATGCCAAAGAAGGATAACTTCTCACGCGCCTACATAAGTACACGCACCCATTTTTTTTGAAATGAATATATTTTTGCTGCTCTAAGCCTTAATAATTATTTTTTTATTTTTAAGATAGCTTTTACTGGCAAAAATCTGCTTCAATCTAAGTATAGTAGTTTCGCCTAATACCTATATACATATATTTTTTTAGAAATATAGTATTTGATCCCCTAATCTAGAGTCTGTGCGGAAAGAGAATAGAATTTAGATTGGAGGGCGCTGTAGTGCTTTTCAACCGTATTTGTAAGGTTTTACCCCTTTTAGACATGATTAAATACAAAAAACCGCAAGAAATCACAACAACAAACAAATCCGTATCGATACTTTGCCATTTTACAGATTGCTGGGTTTGATTGCCAAATAAAAATCTTAATGTTAGTTCCGTTTTTCGCCACGCCCATTCTCTTTCCGCACATGAAATAAAATGAAATGAAAAGTCATTTATTCAGTCTAGTCTGTTACAAGCACTTGTGAAGGTCAAGAAGCTACGCCATCGGTTCGCAAAACTACGGCGGGAGACCTTGTACTGAGAAGAACCGGCAAGAAACTCAGCAAGGGCTGCTTTTTTCTCCCTGTATTGATATACCTATATAGGGTCAGTTCGCCTGTTCGCATCCACCGCCCAATTCGCGTCCATTTTACGGATCACCCTTAAAAAATCCTCAAAAATAAGTAAACTAACACACCAATCAAACGAGAAGTAATTACCGCTAATACCTTAATATATAAGAGGCACGAACACATGGTCAAAAGGTAGGTGCGCCAAACAATCCCGTTTAAATAAAATAATTAGTCTCGGTTATTCATCAAGGGAGTGCGTACACACGGGATGTTTAGATAAAAAATAGTGTGCAGCGGCGCGTTCGATGGTAAGTTTTTTATTTTTTTATGTTAATTTTAGGATAGATAGCTGTTTCTAGACTTTTATAGTGAAGAAAGGAATGATATTAATTTTAAATTTAATGAATAAAATAAGGTGGACGCGAATTACTACATCGAAATTACAAAACTTCCAATTTGCGTCCGCAATGGACTATACCTACAGGGGATAATAGTAAACCAAATTGCGTCCACTATTTTCGTTAAATACAATTAATTAATTATAATTTAAAATATAGGTATTGATTATTATTTTTATACATTTTTATCAAGACTACGTGTTTTGAATGCTATTTTTAAATGAAATGAGTAATTTCAATCAATCAATCAAATACTTTATTTGTTTCATTCTTATTTTTTTTCTATTTGAGATGAGTTCTTCGGAGACAAAAAAGTAGAAGGAAAAGAGAATATACACAGAAGACGATTTAAAGAAAGTCGATAAATGAAATTCGAGAAAAGAATAAATCGGTTAGACACATAGACATATTGTACAAAATCAGTGGGCGCAGACCAAATGAAGTAAAGAAACCGGGACCAGACACCACCTAATGCTACCCGAAATTTCTAACAAAGCACGAAAAGATAATCAAAGAACTCTAGCAACCATATCTTCTGCTGCATGGAGTAAGCATTTAGAAGATAAAGAGCAGATCAAGAACGAAAAGCAGGAAGCAATACGAAAAAGAAAGTTAGAACGAATAGAGAAACAAGAACAGAGTTTAAAACACTCTCAAACGGTTCGTAAAACTGCTCCAAAACGAAAGAAGAAGATACATGCTCTTCAAGAAGTCACACAGGAAATGGTAAATCAGGAATTTAAGACAGATTTTTTTCTAAATGTGACGATATACTAATTTCAGATGTAGAAGACGACGATGAGAAAAACATGCCTTGTGATTTTAGAGTAAAATTAACAGAATTTATTACTTTAGAATTTATTCTTAAAGATGCAATCATTATTTACCTATTA